CCTAGTCTCAATGGAACAACATATGCTTTTGATTATCTTAAACATTTCTGTGATTGATTTGGAATCTTCCTGGAGTTGAAAGGTACATTTTCACGATGGAAACAATTGCACCATCTCACAGAGTTTGGGGGTAACTGTCTCGGCTTGCCTGAGGCTGCATAATGACTGGAAATCTTAGCCATGAGGCTTACTGTATTCTTTTTGGAGACTTTAATGGGACACACTGAAGCTGATTTTTGCAGCTTTGTCATTGACTCCGTGATTTATAGAACCACGTGATCACTTAGCCCTCAAACTTATAATTCTCTAAGTTCCAATTCTCTCGGTAGGGAAGCCTGCCATCCCTCTTTCCTGGAGCCTTAAAGTTTGTTAATAAATAAGTGTCTTTGCATACGACTTTGTAGCACTTCACATTTTATGGACGCTCATCGAGCCATTGTGCATATTAAAATGTTATCAACTTGAACTTTTGAAATCCCTCCTGTCTTTGTAGACTAGTTGGTCACAGCTTCCAAAGTCACATTCCTCATAAACCTGTCAGGGATTCCTGCTTTATGCTGCACTAGATGACTGGCCAGAGACCCTGTAATCAGAGATATAACAATTCTATGATTCTCACAGAACAATTTTATTTGTTTATTGGAACCCGGCATCTACAGGTACCCCATTTTGCCTCTGTAACAGGTGTTTTTCAAGAAATATGGCAGTTCAATTACAACCCATCTTAGCTAACGGGCCTGGGTTATTGTGTTCAGTTATGTTTTTCCCCCCACATTCCTCCACTGCCTTTTATCCCCGTCTCAACTTTTCTATATAATACACAATAGATGAGTGCTTACTTTAAGCTGGACATGGTTCTGGAAATAAAAAGGTAAGCAAGACTGACACGCATAGAGATTAAATCAATAAGCACACACTAATAATGTCTCAAAACTTTGAAAATTGAAATATAACAGTCATATAGTAAAATGCTCAAATCTGAGGTATAAGCTCAATGAATTACCAATAACTTAGGAGTTTTCTAAGTGCCTCCAGAAAGCTTATTCAAAGATAACTGAAATTTTTACCGCTGAGCACAATATCCCAAATAAAATCAATGGACTTTGGCTTGGAATTCAGTTTGAAGTCCATTACTCAGATATCTGTGAGTAGGCTTGGAGCGGGATCAACAAATTATGGCCTGTGGGATAGCACTGACTAATTTCTGTATGGTCCAGGAGCTAAGAATGGTTTTCACATTTTAAGGATTTAAGACAAAATAAAAGAAGAAAAGGAAGGAGAAGAAGAAGAAACTACATATGGACTGTAACGTTGAAAATATTTACTATTTGGTCCTTTACAGAAAAAGCTAGCTGACCGTGGAGCTACAGAGGAGAGAAAGTGAATAGAAGCCAAGGATAATTGTTCCTTTGCTTTGCTCTTTGGCCTAGTAAGCCAGATTTGTCAACAGGTTCCTTTTAACTGACATGAACATGTTGCTCAATCAGAAAAGGGTTTAAATTTTTACTAGCTTATGCCCGTCCCACCAGTGACCTTAAATACTAGGAAGAGTTTGCTGAAATTCTGTGCCAGAACCACTGTTATGACACTGAAAGATTGTGACTTCAATCTTGATATGAACTCATTTTTTTAGAAATACAGGAATAGCTATGGCTAACTATTTTTAAAGTCATGGATGTGTTTGGAAGACTTAGCCACAGGTATTGTCATCATCTATTGGCTTGGGGATCCCCTGGGACCTTTGCAGCAGATGGAGGGAGGGGAGAAAGCATGGAATGGATGCTTAAAGCTGTGATTCAGCAATTTCCAACCATATATCCTACCCCTCCTCTCTTTTCAAATAATGCACATGCCTTTTCCCCAAGTCTATTCCAGCTTGAAGTGTGCTTTAGCAGTCAATATCCCACTCTCCAGAGGGGAATTTGGGCTCAAATCAGGTCAACTGGGCCAGCATTTGGACTAATTACTAAACAAGAGACAGTGTGGGAGTTTCTAGGTATTGCTGATGTTAGAATTGTCACTGTGGTTTGGGTTGGTCTGTGTTGTTGGATAAACTGTGGCTATTGGCATAGAGGGGGCTAGAAATAACTAGAGTGAACCTTAATAAAATGGGTGGGTTTCAGGGACAAGGTTGTCCTGGAAAGGGAGAGTGCAGGCCAGGAAATTTGTGCAAAAGCCAAATTATACCTACTTTGCAAGGATAGCTTGGGTGAGAGACAGATTGCCACTTGTTGGGCTCAAGGCTCAGCTGGGGCACATGCATACCATTTTAGGGGCAGGAAAATGAGCTATAGACCCTGCCCATTTGCAGGGTATCTAATAACCTTGGCTTGGCTGTTGGGATTGAGCTTGTCAGTTGGAGGGTGAATGGCAACAGCTGAATGTGGTTGGGTTGGTAACACCCAGGATTGACAGGACAAAATTATTATTGATATTATTATTAAGAAAAATATTCGGTGACACTTGCCATTTTATTGAGCAGTTGCTATGTGACAGATACCTTATAAACAATGTCTACTCTTTACTATAATTCTGTTGAAGCAAGTACTATTTTTATCCTCATTTTATAGAACAGACAACTGTAGGTCAATGAAGTGAAGTGATTAACTCGGGCTGGTGAGTGGCAACTCTGGGCTTTGGATCCAGATCTTTCTGAGTTCAAAGTGTAAAAACTGCTTAATTTTATACTTAAGTTTATACCCAGTGTTCTTTCCATAATACGCATTTAACAAATGCTATAAAGAAAAAAAATTAAACAAACAAAAAACCAAACAGTTAGTCATCGCCATGCATCCTAGATTATGAATACCTACCCCTGCATAGATTTTGGTCTATTGAGAGACTTCGGATATAAAATAAATCTAATCTCACAATCCTCTGAAATGTTAGTACAAAATACCTAGTTGGCCAATTTTAACTGAGGATCTTTTTCTGTGTGTGTCAGGCACTGTGCTAACTGCGGAGAGCATGACTAGCAAATGAAATACGCAGTCCCAGCCCTCAATAGACTTCCAGCAGAATGTGTTAGATAGGCACTAAACAAGTAAATAAGATAATAAGTATGTAATTATAAATTGTGCAAATGTCTACTAAGGAAAGGACTGAGGTGATAGAAAGAGAATAATGAGATTTACTTTAGATTAGGTGACCAGGGACAGTCTCTTAGAAGAGGTGACAGTTAAGTTGGGACCTGAAGGATGGGCTGGAACCAGCTTGGAGCAGTGGGGCTCAGAGGAGGCAATTTTGTCCCTGAGCAACATTTGGCAATGTCTAGAGACATTTTGGGTGTCACAAGTGAGAAAGGGTTGGGAGGTGGGGGCGGGGTGTAGGTGGGCTAGTACTCAATGCAGTCCAGAAATGGAAAAAAGGCAATATGGTGAGAGGCTAGTCAGTGAGGTGAGGCCAAGAAGGACCTGGCCAAACAGCTGCGAGAGCCATGGAGTCTGTCATAGTAAGGATTTAGATTTTATTTTTGCTCATTCGTTCATTTCAAAAGTAATGATATAATCAGGTTTCCATTTTCCAGGTATTTCCAGGCAGATTAACTACAAATAAAGGGGAAATCTTGATGTAGCTTTGAACTAACCCTTTCTTTACCTGCTTTTAGAATTTGTAGTGGAAAAGCACCTAGTACAGTTTTAAGCATAAATTCACCAGATCAAATGCTGTCTACTGACTTTCTTGCATCTCTAAGGAGACTTTTCTATCAAACACTGCACTTGTCACTTTGATCTCTTTCATCTGTGCCCACAAGTTTCTTGCTGGGACTGACTACGTACCCTATGGACAGAGTCAGACTGACTCATTTTAAATGGTTTAATATAGCACAGAATAATGCAGCATTATGGAAATGTCCATAACTTTTTCTAGATTAAATAGGAGCAAAGAAGGTAAAAAAAAAATTTTTTTCCAGACTTGTCAGTGGGTGACATTGAGCAAGCTTCTGAACGTAAGTGTTCTTACCTATAAAGCAGGCATTTAATTAATGGAATAATTTCTTGACTATTTCAGTATTGTTGCAATTCAGAGCCAAGGTTGAAAATTCCAATTGCTTCACGGAGGGGATTAAAGAAAATAAAACATACAGGAAAAAAAAAAAAAGACATACCCTCTTTCACTTTGCCGATTGTACATTTATAAATTAGTTTAAAAAGAAGCAATTTCCTCAAAACAAATATACAAATATGAAGGCTCTGTAAGTAAATCGATGTGGCCAAGCAAGAGTGTTACAGAAATATTGATGTATTTACTCTTTCATTCACTTTGACGCAGGCGTTGCAAACAAGCCAATAATTTTCAACCCTGGTTGCATTTTCCTGAAACTTGAGCTGACTAATCTTCCCAACTTTACTGGAACTCCTTGTGACAAGGGCTGTTTCTTTTTTTTTTCATTTTCAATAACTTTTTCATTTGCCTGGTCCTTTGGTAAGTACCTAAACTGTTGGGGTGCATGGATGGATGAATGGATGGGGGAACTGAATACTTAATGTTGAACTGTTGTATCCTTACGTGTTTATTTTATCTGAAGGACAAAACCTGATAACCTCTCTTGTTAGCTGTGCAATCTGTCCGTATTCTAACAGCTGACACAGTTCTGCCAATGACTTTTTGGTGTCCTGTGGAGTTCTCTTAGCCTCTGTTCTCTTTACCTCAGATTTTTATCTTTAAGATTGAAAGTGCAACTGTATGGGTGGAACTTGAGGGTATTAAGCTAGGTAAAAAAAAGTCAGACAGAGAAAGACAAACACCATATGATCTCACTGTGGAATCTAAAGAAAAAAAACAAAACCCAAAAAACCCTCAAGATACAGAGAACATATTGATGGTTGTCAGAAGTCGGGGGGTGAGGGGATCAGTGAAATGGGTGAAGGTGGTCAAAAGGTAGAAACTTCCAGTTATAAAAGAAATAAGTCATCAGATATAAAGTACAACGTGGTGACTACAGTTAAAAATTCTGTATTACATACAGAGGGTGCCAAAAAACATGTATACACATTTTAAGAAAGGAAAAAACTGTATTAAAATTGTAATACTCAATATACACCGATAACAAAAGATGAATACAAGTCATGTATATACATTTTTTTGGCACCGCCGGTATTTGAAAGTTGTTAAAAGAGTGAATCTTAAAAGCTCTCATCGCAAAAGAAAATTTTTGTGGCTATTTCTGGTAATGGATGTTTGCTAGACTTATTGTGGTAATCATTTTGCAATATATACAAATATTGAATCATTTTGTACATTTGAAACTAATATAAGGTTCTATGTCAATTACACCGCAACAAAAAAAATATGAAAAAATGTATAGTGGATGATTAAGAAAAAGACTGAAAGTGAGTGTTACTGAGGATTTTTCCTTATTGTGTATTTTCTTTGCTCTTCACATAGTTAATTGCTTATGTTTTTAGGTTTCAGGAAATGGACCTAGTTATTTCTTAGCTAATCAAATCCTAAACTCAACACTACAACTCTCACCAGAGGGCATCAGAATTTTAAATGTTGCTCCCTGAACTTAAGTACAATGCTTAGTTCTCAGCTTACATATTAGAGCTATTTAAATGCTTTGGTGTGTATATATTTCAACCAGTGATTTCATTCTAGAGTAAGGTTCTGTTACTCTCTAGCCAGTAGCTCTGTCCTTTCCCTGCCACTTGACATACAGGCAGCTTTTCATCCTCTTCTCTCATTCAGATCCTTATCTTTTAACCTTGGCTGGTGGAACTGGAGCAAATGTTTTCAGATGCTGTAAATATATCAAAGTAAACATAGTATTGACAAGTAAGGGCAGTGTCCAGACCAAATGCTGATGACATAGCAGATTTTACCATCTCTTTGACAAATACAACTAAGAGCAAAATATTGTTCATGGCGGCCGCTGTGTCCAAAAAAGAGGAAGGAGACAGTCCAGTTATTAAATAAACTGTTACCATCTGCTTCAAAAGGCAAACAAAAGCACTAACATTTGAAAGTAAATGGAGGGGAAAACACCTACTGTCATAGGGCGGAGGGTTCTGGTTGCTAGATCAGACCGAGAGAAAAGACTGGGGCTAGGAGAGTGGGGAATGTTTAAGGCGTAGAGTACAAGAAATAAAGAAAAAGAAGCTTCTTTCTCTTTGACAGCATTATGGTGAAGGTGTGGAAACGCACATTGATCGTTCCTTTGTGGGCTTATCGGAATATTGGCATTCATTCATTCATTCTTCATTTTTCAGTAAATGTTCACTGAGCACTCACCACTGGCCAGGAACTGCTCTAGCTGGTTGGGATAAAACAGGGGGGAAAAAAAATACCGAACGAAGAGGCTTGCGTTTATGGAGCTTACATTTAAGTAGTACCCAATACACGGGGGAAGTAGAAGGTGATAAGTGTTAGGAAAAACAAGAAAAATTAGAACAGGGGATCAAAAGTGTGAGGTGAGGTGCATGGTCAGGACATCATATGGCCTGGAGAGGGTGGCCAGGGGAGTTAGGCCTCCTTGAGAAGGAGGGATTTGAACAAGGCCTTGAGGAAAGTAAGGGATTCAGCCAAGTGGCTCAGTGAAAGAAAAGCATTACTGTCAGAGGAAACAGCCAATGAAAAAGCCCTGGGCAGGGAGCACAGCTGGAAGGTCAGCATGGCTAGAGGAGAGGTGACAGGAAAGGAGGCAAATCTAAGAATTCTGCAGGGCCCTGTGCACTCCCTGTTTGTTTCCTTCTTCTATTCCCCGCCCCCCCACGAATCCTTCTCCCCAACTTCTAACCCATTCTACATTCCCTCTGGAAGTCACAATCCATTATCACAAAATATATTTACAGTATCAGCCCAGACTCTCAATAGTTTCTTCACCTTCTTGATCTAATGTGGATGCTATTTCTTTAGCAGCCCTCCCAGAGGGGTTTCTTCCACAGCCCTCATGCCTCTAGGCCTGGGGGTGGCTCTGTTAGTTTTATGGGCCAACAGCTTTCCAGCCTTATAAGCTCAGCTTATAAGATGGCTTGTGGTAGTTGATATGAAAAAAAAAAAGGTGTTTGGAAACAGAAAATCTGAGTTCAGCTGTGCCAATTAATTGTGACTTTGACAAGTCATGTAATGTCTTGTATACTCAGTTTCATTCCTTGTGAAGTAGGGATATAAAAACCTATCCTTCAGGTTTATAGTGAAGGTAAAATGTAATAATGTCTCTGAAAGTGCTTTCTGAACTACTCAAGAGAGAGCCTTGTTACCCTGTGTGACTGATGTGGTCAGTGGCTCATTATGACATCACCTTGACACTCTGATCTGCACATCACTCCTGCTTATTGTGAATATCTGAGGTTCTCTACCTGAGGGCTTTGTTCTGGTCCTGGGAATATGCTCAGCAGCATGTGGGACAAGCCAGGTGTCAGAGAGTTAATGCCTGCGGGAAGAGCCCTGCCCCAAGGTAGACAGACGTTGATGGAGAAATCCTCCAGCCTCCAAGCTCTTGGTTGGGAAAACGCTGAGCTATGCTCTGTTCTGAACCCTTCCAGGGTTCCCCAGTGGGACTGCACTCCAATTGCCCCCTGTGTTAATTGACTTGGTAATACCCTTTAATAACTTCCTTCCCTTTCCTATTTTATTTCCTATTTTCTTCCCTTTCTGATGTTTCCTGGAATTACCTCCCAAATAAGCAGTAGAACGAGAATTTGGCGTCAGCTTGTCTGGCTTTGAAGCCTATGCCTTAACCACTAAATTATCACGCCTCTGATAATGCTTCAAATATTGTTTCAGGTAAGGGTTATGTTATATGTATGACTGGATTTACCTGCTTCACGAGTACCATTAACCACATTCTTTCAGATTTTCATATCGAGTTTAAGATAGCTTGAGAAACTCAGTTGCTAGATTAACAGAAAGTCTATTAGTTCCCTTTCCAGGTTCCTTTCTATGAATCATTGAAACACAACCCTGAAACACTGTGGGACCTCTAAAGTCTGAAAGGGGCCCTTGTCTAACTTTTACAAGTGATATAGCAGCTGTTGCCATTTCCCCCACCCCCATCTCCACCATGCACACACTGTTACAGAAAAAAAAATGAATCCCCTCCAATCTAATCATCATCATCATCAGATGATGATGGTCCACTCTGAAATGATGCCTCCTGGTCAACTCCTGGCAGCTCAGTTCACTGATAGAGGATGGGAGATCTCATCCCTCAGGTCTGGGCTGTGATAAGGCTGCATCGGCGCTCTTTTCCCAATCTCATGCTCCCCTCCCCTCTCTTGGATCACAAGCACTATGTCCTGCTGGCTGGTCCAGAGGCATTTCAGCATCAGCTGTGTCTATGTTTAATGCATTCCTTCCCTATTGACTCTGGGGCCCGTGCCCTGAACTCAGCTCACTTGTTTAGACCTCAGCTATCCTAGAATTAATAGAATTTCAGAGCCATCCTGGTCCACCTCGACAGCTTCCTCTCTTCACATATCAGGGAACTGGAGCTGGTTAAAACTTCAGTGTCTTGCCTCCCAGAAGGTCTTGTACTCACTCAAATTGACCTATGGTGTCCCTAGCATTCAGGCTTGACAGAAACACAAAACTTTGGGTTCTATCTTAATCTCAGGACAATGTCTGCTTTCTTGTCCTATGTTTGTCTAAAAATGTCACTCATGTCACTACCCTAGGGCAAAAGAAGGCTCACTTCTCCTGGAGAAATTTTTGAAAACTATTCATTGGTGCACACCCATTATTTAAATCCTGGACAAAATTTTTTGTCCAGCTTCTGTTTTAAGGAGATATTGTTTTCCTCGTAAGTTCTGATTCTACAATAAAAGAATAAAGGAGAAGATAAAGAAAGATTTTCCCCCCCTTTGTGACTGAAAGTGTACATAACTTGTGGTTTGTATTCTTGTAGGTGAACTGGTGCCAGGAAGAAATTTAAAATGTCACTCTCTTTGCCTGTTGAATTGGGACAAGCATGGTCCTGGAAACAAGTGAGAAAAAGGGAAGAGGAAGGGACACAGACTCTATTACAAAAGCAAAGAACTTACCTGTGGGGAGAATTTGCTGACTGACTGTAGCCATGGTGACTATCCAGTACTTTACATCCTAACCTACTGTGTCGTGAACCACACAACCTGGCACAAGATTCAATTCTAGCAGGCACACTTTCCCTCTCATCTCCCCAGGTGGATTGAAAACTCCTCCATGCTTAGCACAGTGTGAACACAGCAGGGTTTTGCTTATGTCCAGGAATTACAATGTTCTTGTTTTCAGGTAACCATATACTACTGTTCTCAGACTCTCACAGAGTAGGGGGAAAGGAGGAATAGCAACAAAGTCACAATAATACTGTGAATAAAATCTTATTTTCCACAAATGTTTCTGATAAGGACACTTGTACTTATCTTCCTGAAGAGGTGTTTTCTTTGCTCTCTGTTTCTTTGGCATACTCACTTCTTTCCTTACTAATTTTACAGTGTTATTTGTAAATAGGCATTCAGGGAGCTATATTTCAGATATTCTTGGACAGCATTTAAAAGCCCGATTTTTCAAGTATGTGTAATGTGTACCTCCCAGGATGCAGACACTACTGGTTGGCTGACCCAATGGCTAGGTAGAATTCCTAGTGTCCGGTTTCCCTGGTCAGTAAGGCTGGCCACATGTCTTAGTTGTAGCTAAGAGTTATAAGCAGAAGTCTTCTAGATGAGGTGTATATAAAAATGTAAAACAGAATTTGACCCTGTACTTGCATGACCCTGAGAGTTATGCATATTGAGGGTGCAGGTGCAAGGAAGCAAAAAAAAAAA